ATAGTAGTCCTGTAAATAAATGAATAAAGAAATTGTGTAATAAAATGCCTCTGGCGGGACTCGAACCTGCGACTTCTCACTGTCAAGGCGAGTGTCATAACCACTAGACCACGGAGGCTTCATGGTTGAACAGATTCAAATACCACCATATAACATAAATCAAGGTAGCCGTTAACACTGTTAAATCATATATAAATCATCAAAGAAAGGTAAATACAGTGTTCGAATAAAGGACTTAATAAATACATCGATTTATATATGATTTAACAGTGTTAACGGCTACCTTGATTTATGTTATATGCACCTATTTGTTTCTAGCCGTACCTATTGTGTAATGGAGTGTATCTGGTGGTATTTGAATCTGTTCAACCATGAAGCCTCCGTGGTCTAGTGGTTATGACACTCGCCTTGACAGCGAGAGGTCGCAGGTTCGAGTCCCGCCAGAGGCATTTTATTACACAATTTCTTTATTCATTTATTTACAGGACTACATTCTTTGAGAGCTATACTACACGATGTATTTATTAAGTCCTTTATTCAAACACTGTATTTACCTTTCTTTGATGATTTATATATGATTTAACAGTGTTAACGGCTACCTTGATTTATTATATATATATATATATATATATATATATATACTGTACTTTGCAGATAATAGATTCATAATATTACTAATATATTTAACATCTTTGGTTAAACCTGTAAAACAGTAAAGAATTGAAATTGATTGTAGCATTATTTAGTGTCTGGTTCTCCAATAATTGATATTGATAGAGCGTCTCCTAACATTGGCAGATCTGAGGGGTGGGGGATCAGAGGGTTGTCCTGACCTTTTTTTTTTGTTACAATGGGAAAATTAGTAGTCAGGAAAGCTCATTTCCCATCATCTAGAAATCAAAATTTTCCCAGGGAAGGATCCCCAACCCCCTTTCTTTTTTGGGTTCATCGATTCATGGCAAAAAAAAAATACATATGCAACCACTAAATTACTGGTACACACATAATAGGCCTATTTACTGTAATAAGAATGAGAAAAATTTACCTGATCGTCTTCAAGAGGGGAAAACCTTGAATTTTGAAGTCATTAAAAGACACGTTAGAAGTCTGGAAAGCTCACTTAAAAAGAAATCAAATTTTTTTGACCACCCCACCCTAAATTTGAACCCAGATCCGCCCTTGTCCTAATGTTGATAATGATTGGTGAGTTAAAAGACTGAGCGGTTAAGGCAGGGGCGCTACACCCTATAGCCATAATATTGCATAATATAGCCTCTGTTGCCCTGTGGTTTATGAATCCTATGATCCTTTGCAGGATGTACCTTTGTGAATGTAAATGATTGTCTAATTGATGTTTTTATCATTTTGCCAACAACAGTAAACAGGAGGGCAGTGGTTATGACAGGCTGTGGCACACATTTTCGGCGTGTTTGGAGGTTTTGGAAAAGCACATGAGGAAGTCTTTGGAGTTAGAACGATCCTTCCCGATGGTGAATGGTAAGAAGCCAGTCACTCACTGTGTCCTATGGCTGTCGTACAATGAATCCAACCTTGCTCCCCGTGAACACTAGACAGCGCGATGGCGCCTGCTGATTATCGGTGGCAGTTTGAATGGTTCGTTGCATGCTCGTCGTGTTGCGTTTCCATGGAATTGCATCGGCCGATTTGGCGCACCGAGTGTCTGGCTTTACAGAAGCTTGTGTTTCAATAAATTATGTTATTTAAAACTGCCACTAGAACTGCTACTGCACTGTTTCAGCTACAAATGCATTGAGTAATGCTTGGAGTAATGCTTTAATAGTTAATAGTATTATTAAATATGGTTTTTATTCAATCAATCAATTTAAAGGGTATATATAACAATTATCCTCAGTGGCGGATCCAGAAATCGAAATAGAGGAGGGATTTTCGCAGACAGAGAGCGCATAGAAAATTTGTAATTGTGGCACCACTAGATTGCTGAAAATGGCACTCTCAGACCTAAATTTATGTATAATTTTCCTTTTTTATCCATTTTATTTGTAATTTTGAAATATTTACTGACTCTGCACAGCTCTCCCTTGAATCTGTCTTTATTAATTTGTAAACCTTTTAAAATTCTTGTAGTTTTTTTTTATGATACTTATTGAAAACCTTACAATATTACAAAATGATGTTGTTATAATGTAGGTTCAACGATTTCGTTGGTCATTAATACTGGACTTTCAGCACCACTGGTGCTTGATAACATTCCTGTAAGTGTTGAAAACTTAGACTCACCGCTAGTCACCAAAAAGAATATTGAATTGAAGGAACTCAAGAGTTTAGAAAAGTAAGTAGCAAGTTTAAACGAAGTACTGTAATGAAATACTTTGTTTATTTATTGAATATGTGAACAAGTAATTATTTAAATGTTTATTTACTAGTATTTAGAATATTAAAAAGGATCACAAGTCATAATATGCAATACAGTACAGTGAGCACTACCACCGAGAGGGGAACATGTGGGCCAATGCCCCGGGGCCTGGGACAAACAATTAAGAAATAAAATAAGGTGTATTTGGGAAAACAAAATTTTGAACGTCATTCACATGCTATGTCTCTAATCGTCAGAATTAGGCATCTAAGTACATAAAACTTAGGGGCTGTGGGGGGGGCTTTAGCCCAAACCCGCACCAGAGGCTCTGCTATTGGGTGCTTCAAACCGGCCCCCGGTCCTGAGGCCCTGGCAGCTTCACTGCCCTGTTGCCTATGGCTGCTCTCCATGGCTCTAACAAAGAAATGCAATTCATTCTAATATAATGCAATAAAAACTTTATTATCCAACACAGGAAAACTCTTTGAATTTTGTTCTATCGTTGGGCCGAATCCTCCTTTTCAAGTGAACCCTTGTGATGAGCCCAACTACCCCTGTCCTTTGCATCAAAAAACCATTAAATTTCACCACTAGAATTCCTCACTTCCTGATAGTGGATAGTTACTGGTATCTTGCTACTTAGGTAAGATTACAATAAAATTTTATTGTCCAATGTCACTAATGGAAATACATATTTTTCCATTTGAAGTAATAATAAAACATTTTTACACAACTGTGGTACCTAGTTGCTAGTTCTATTTATGTTCAACAAAATTTTGCCCAATGCTAACCATCAAATTAGATTGAATAAAATAAAAAGTTAAAAATTAAAATATCATTTTTCTGAGGGAGATATTAAAGACAAAATGGTAAAGTTATATAACTGCTGTAGTAAGCATGCCAGCAGAATTCCTAAAAAGGTCTTTTGGACACTGTACATTAATTGTAATAAAGATGATAGTCAGTATAAAGTTATCATTATGAAGACTTAGGTCACACTCTATCCCAAGTATTAAGCCTGGTTCTCACGATAGACCTAGTATCCGGATCGAGAGCTAACCGTTAGCGCTAACCGTTACCGTTAGTGTGAGAATGCCCGATCGGTTAGCGCTAACCGTTAGCAGTATCTGGATACCGCTAACGGTTAGCAAGCGCTATCGGTTAGCACGTTGAGCGCGTTTCTATCATCAACCAATCACACATACGCGTTTACAATTTCCAGTTTCTTATTGGCCAGTGATTCGATCATCATATTTTTGGTATCCGGATCGGGATTTTCTCGTATGGACGCATGGCAGCTAATGTTAGCTGCTGTGTGAGAACATAGCCATAGAGTATTATGAATAGTTTCCCTTAGAAAGGGTTTTGGTGTATTAAAGAAGAAAGCTCTGTCCACATGGTGAAATAGTATCTGAAACACATTCATTTAACAAAGTGTACCAGCATTAAAATGTTGAGAACATCCACAGTACAATTCTATCTACGGTAAATGTTTTTCTAACATCGCTTTCATTATCATCACTGTCATCATCGTTGTCATTAATTATATTACTTTAGGTAGCCTAGTTAAGAAAACCAGTGATATTTTGCAATCATGTACTTATTGCAGTCAAACATATTTTGTTCCTAGAACATGTTCCATATATGTAGATTCTGAACTGTAGGAATTTTTGATTGGATTTTGAATAAATGGCAGCCATATTAGATCTCATTAACTCCAATTTAAGTCAAATGCCTATTTGTTAAAGCTTTAGTACTGCATATTTTCACTAAAATTAGTAAAAGTATAATAAATATGGACACCTTTCTCTTAAACATGAATTATTACTGTATTAATTAACTTTCATTCTGTAGGGAAATTCATGACCTGCGGGAAATGCGAGGCGAGATGCAAAGGAAGGTGGACGTGAAGCCCTGGATGATTGATCCTGTTTCTGATAGTAAATTTGAATGTACCAAGTCTCAGAGTACATTGAGTGAAGAAACTTCAACATCTAATGACTCGGTAAGGAATGCTTTCTTTGTGTCGTGAATCACTAGTTTCTTGGTACCTTTATTACTTTATTAGAAAACTAAGCTTGATATAAGCCCTATTCTCATTGACTGTGGAATTAGGTTGAACATGTTTGTAGAAAATTATGACTGATGATAAACATTGGTCAATTAACTTTTTGATGCATTTACATTGTATTTTGATAATACTGTCCCTGTTCTATTTCCCTATAAAAGTGCACTTTCTGAAGAGTCTATAAGCTGTGTAAAACATAGTTCATATGCATGTATTTAAGTCAAATGCCATATATGCTCTTTGGAAAAGGGCTGCAGATTGTCTCCCTGTCAGGGGTGGCACTAGCAGGGCCATGGAGGGCTGCCCCTACAATTTTTTTCTGTGTTAACAAGGTAGTGGATCTGAGTGCACCACAAAGGAACAGGTGTCTGTGTCAGATGACAATCGCTGTGATGTCTTTTACTCTATTCGTTGCTATCATTATGGTTTGTGTTATACTCATCGTTAATGATTAAAATTAGGGGTTAATGTGTTAGGGGATGTGGTAGGGAGCTTTCGATTTGCACGAAGACGTGACTCTAGAATGGATTCACTCATGCATGACTGTCCTACATTCTCTCCACAACATATATTTGGACACATACTATCCTAAAATCCACACGACGAGGAGAACTTAATGTTCTCGCAGGCGCAGATGAAATATTAGTGACATCATTACGTTCTAGATTCTACCGTGTCGTGAAATCGAAAGCTTCCTAATTGCGTAGGGTGTGGGTAGCAATAATCTTTGTTTTAGTTCAACCATCTTTGTGTTCTTCATCCTGCTTTAGCTGTGAATTACAGTACATTCCCTCAACAAAAGTCTCCAAGCAATACAATATGAAAAACTCATTTGCAATATCATCCAATGCATAATACTTACATCAAACAGAAATATCAAATTACATCATTTTCAAAAATTAGTCACATTTAAATCAACTCTGAACCACATAAGTAACTTAGCAGATGATGCATAATGACCAATTATTAAAGTACTTTCAACTAGAATGTATTTGCAAAGAATATTGAACGGCAAGAGATCCAACTTTCGGGGTTTCGTTGAAACGCAATTCCTATCTCAAAATGTACTATCATGAACTAGAGGGCATGCTTCAAAAGAATGTAAAAGGTGTTCATAAATAGGGCACCCCCTATCTCCTGGTAGTACTTTTTTTAGCATTTCACTGCGTGCATACCAAAGATCTTATAAACACAAGATGGCGTTCTCCGCGATTTACATGTAACAAATAGAAGCGTCGATTTGGCAGAGAAAAGTAATCATTTTTGGGAGAGGGCGTCCTAGTCGTTGCCATGAATCTGAGATAGGGTGTTCGCTTTACGCCAAAGTTCGTTACCAAGTACTAAAGATAGGGCGCATTGTAAATCGGACGCTTCAAATTGTTACGCGTAAACGTAAAGTCGCACAGTGTACGCTATAGTCAAAGCAGTCAAAGTTTAAAAGTTTTCACTTTTGCAAGAGGGCGCCGTACACTTCTTTATTACAGAATTTGCACGCGGAAATCACGCAGAACACTATCTTTGTATTTATAAGATCTTCGGTGCATACAAAATCAGGGCAGTGGGACCTCCTTGCAATTCTATACTCTTTGGTGTTGGTCGTTATTACTTTCGTCAGTTTATAAATGCTACATTATGATACTAATTTGCAATTTGATATGATATTTTGTGATGTAAATCGCTGTCTACACTATCAAATTTTATGTGACAAAAAACTGAGATATACCCATATTTGGGTGTACTATGACACCATCATATATGGGCACAAAAAATGTTATAGTGTGGATGGAACTTAAAAGATATACTGTCTATTTTGAGTTAAAAAAATAAAACGCAATATTTAAAAAGTTATCTGCTTTCAATTAATATAAAAACTTTGTCCAGACTCAAATTTTCTTTGACAAAAAAACTGTTGTATGCCCATATATAGCCATGATGTGATGTCATCATGACCATATTGAGGCATTTCACCTGTTTTTGTCAAATAAAATGTGATAGACTGGATAGGACTTTAGAAAGAGAAAATATATTTTGTGCCAACTTGCATGTATAAATAACTAAATAAATCTGTATTCTTTAAAAAGACCCTTAAATTAATAGGTAGTTAACATAATGATTTTTATATGAAAAAGTGTGTAATTCAACATTTATTTAGCTTTTTTTTATCCCTGCTTATTTCTTACTTATTTTTTTGAATTGAGCAATTATTATTTTGAATTGAATTTTTGAGGTTTCCTCAGATTTCATTACAGTTAGTGCATATTTAGTTGACTTTAGTAGTAGATAACACACTGAAGCTTATATACCAGACCTACCAAGTCAGAATTCAGACTGAAGGTATCGGGGGTCCAGGGGATGTTGTCACAGTTGCGAAATCTATTTTTATAAAATTGCAATTTTGACAGTCAGATGTGCCCCCCCCCCATCTGCTATGTCTCTAGATCTGTCATTGGAATCTAATATTTAACTACAAATGTAAGATATTTTTTTTAATTAAAAAAAGGATACAGTAGCTAATCAGAAATACCATTGACAGTAAATGGTGCATGTCCAATTATTATATAATTATTTTGAGTTTTTGCATCAGGAAAATATCATAAGAGTGATGTTTTGCCCTACCTGACGTGTTATCGTACCAAATACTCAGTATGTTACCAAATACTTGTGAAAAAATGTTTCACAAGTGATTTGGATGAGAATCGAACCCACAACCTCCAGATAACTAGACTGGTGCCATAACCACTAGACTACCGAGCTTGCGCTTGGTGACTAGTGTTGAATCCAATCCCCAAGTAGCAGCGGGTACTGAAAATACTATTTCAATGTTGCGAAATTGTTTTCGCAAGTATTTGGGAACGTAATTAGTATTTGGTACGATAACACGTCAGGTAGGGCAAAACTTCACATATTATATATAATTATTATTTTTGCGATAAAAAGTAGGATATGTTTGATTATTATTTCGTTATGGTATAGCCTTGACCAACAGGAGTTTATAGTGTAGCTCAATGACAAAGTGTACACAAACCAACATCATCAATCGATGGATGTTTTAAGAATAAACTTTGGACCAAACACCACTTTGCTAGACAAAAGCTTTAGGGCATATTATTTACCTCTGTGGAGGTATTTTTTACCTGATGTGTGCGGATGCTCCACGGTGCCTAGACTTATTGAAAGAATTCCTCAAAATGTATTTCCCACAGTAAACTTGAAAGTGCAATATGGTATTGAACACAGTGTTGGTGCAAATGTTCTACTGATGTGGGTATAAGCCTACACTCTTGAGCCTAAAATGTTGGGGTGGCCGGGGTAATAATCTTGTCTCTTGGGACCTGATAATGCCAGTCAGTAGTGTGGCTGTATTTAACAACCTCTGACAATCTGTGGTTTACATAATATGACTAAACCACATAACATCTCAAGATGAGTATAGAGCATTAGAGAGGCCCAGGCAGAGCTTGTTCAATAATTATTTTAGTGTATGACCAAAGACATACAAGTCAAAATATGTACCCAAATAGTCAAATATTATTCCACATAAACCTCAGTCATTGTAAAAAATGTAAGGATTTTTCTCACTAACTCACGAAAAACAACTCCACTCATTCTTATCGACTTGGTTACGCAGCATTTGGTAGTCCAAAAATATCAAATGTGTTGGACAGATACGGTGAGAAAAATGCAAATTATATGTGCAACAAGCCTTACTGTAATTAACAGGCTTAATATTAACCTAATTAGAAAAGTCACAAGTTTAGAACCATGTGCTTGGGCCTTCCATGTTCCTGAAATTCACCCTCAATAATTCTTGTTTTTAGCAGACAAAACAACCTTTTTCTTAGGTCTATGGTTTGGCTATTTTTTAAATTTAGGCAAAATATTTCATTTCATGTCAATGCAATATGTTTCATGTTTGGTTGTTATTTAGAATTTACTGTGGCATACATATGTAGACATCAATAGAATTTTAAGGGGTGGCCTTATACGCGCATCAGTACAGTGTTCAAATTGTGGTGTATTGAATATTATATTTGTAAATAAGATATTATTTATAATTTGTTTCTTTAAGTACAGTATTATTTTTTATATAATTTCAAAAAGCAATAGTTATAAGTGTAGCAATTTATACTCCATGAATTTATATGCCTTGAATTTTTCATTGTAAAAATTGTATCGTGTAAACAAATCTGAAGATATATATTGAATCACACTTGTTAAATACTGTAAAAATATACTGTAACACTAGCAAATTATTAGGTGTTATTTGTGTAATGTTTACATAATTTATCATAAGGGAATGCTGCCCTCGCTATCAATGAACAATAGAGGTAACAGTAGTATAAAATTGGTTGCATAGTTGTGAACTTATGTAAAAAGGGAGGTGCTTCCTGTTTTACACATCTGGGGCAGATGCAGGGGGCAGGTGCAGATGGTGCAATCGCACCCCCCTAAATTGTGCTATTATAATACCTTCCTGTTTTACAAATCTGGGGGGATGCAGACGGTGCGATCGCACCCTCTAAATTGTATTAATAAAAAGAATTGTATTGTATTGTTGATATGAAGTACCAGTAAGATTTTTAAGGTATGAGAGTGCAATTTCCAGGCACCATATTCTCAAAATTTTCTCACCTCATCCTTAACCATGGTGGGGTTGAGGTGGTATGCAATCATCACGCACCCCCTACCGACAAATCCTGCATCCGCCCCGGCACATCCAACCGTGCAGTATAAGAACACTTGATATGGATAGTATTTGCCTGTAAATAAATGTGAAGTGCCAGAGATTTCCTGATGGAAACCATAAAGATTCCTCCCTGTAGAACTGAATAATGTGTGTGAATTTGATTATTTGTCAAGTAGTATTTAATAATCCAAAGCTATAATAAATTTTCCCTCAAAACCTGTATTCAGTACAGTAATAATAGAGCTATCAAAAGAGTTGAGTGTACTTGTAAATTAATAGATTGTACCCTTTTACACATTATAAATTCTTATGCATTGACCTTTAAATTAGCTGGTAATAAATTTAAGGATTTTTGTAGTAAAAGGTCTGTAAATCAACAACAAATCTTACAGATTTGCATATACTGTAATTGGAATTTAATCACTAGTTACTTGATCTTTTTTAAAATGAGATGTTTTATTTTTAATGGTTTCTATAGTATTCATGCACACATGATATAGACATCTTTAAACAAATGGTCATTGGGATAGTGTACAATGGTCACTGCATGACAAATATCTAAAAATGAATGATATTAAGTAGATTTTTATAGAGTAATTATGGTTCTATTTTTATTGATAACAAATCATCTGTGGTTTTATTGGTATACAATAAATCTTGATCTTGCAGACTACAGTACAATACTGTGTGTGTGTTAGATGTGTTGTTTACCTAGCATGAAAAGTTGATGGGTTTACACAATATTTGGAATGGAAATGTAACTTATAATGGTTAAGATGCTGAACTTTACCCCATCCTAAGGTCCACATCCTATACCAAGATAATTTTCACAAATATAATGAAAATCGCATCCCTCATACACTACACAATAACATTTCTGTCAGATGTTTTGATATGTTTGCTACCCTGGTTGAAAATAATAGTCTGTTCCAGATGGGCCAGGAACAAATACACTGGTACCTATATGCTATTCTCTTGCGTTAATATAAAAAATGTAGATAACACAGAAAATGTACTTCTCCAACTGATTTATTAATTTACTGTGGTTTCTGGTTTTCCAAATATCTCATAGAATATCTGCTCATTTAGAACCTTTCCATATTTTAAAGAGAAATAAAAGTACTTTTTAGATTCAAAAGTCTGAAATTTTCGCATTAGTATTTCCTTGGAATCTCCAATTTCTGAAGCAGAAAGCACGTCCTTGACATCAACAACAAAATTCTGGCGCCGACCCCAAAAGTCCAAATGACTGACTTTTAATTTTAAACAATTTTGGTTGATATACATAACCCCAATGATCCGTCTTAAATATAAACTCATACAGTACAACATTATAAGGCTAAAGTTTGCTGCACACAGTGGAAAAAGGAACTGAGCATCCGTTATTAAATCCATATACTTCAAAATTCCCAAAGGAGGAACAATCCCTACCACAAAAATTGTCTGTGCCAATTTAAGTCTAGACAAAAAGCGAATATGTTGTATGTAAGGAAGGCGGTAGATGGCTTTAAATTCTACATCGTTTCCAGACGCTGATGGATGCCTTTCCTGAAAGTGTGGATTTGTAATAGAAGTTTGTGAAATTAGCTGCTTTGGCACTTGTACTCTTGGCAGATGATAATACAGAGCTCTCTCAACAGAAGTAACTTCAAGTGTGGTAGGCCTACCACTGGTTCTCTTTCCATTCTGTAGTCGATGATAGCCACTCAACAGCCTTGTGGTAGCAAAATTTACACTTCTATCACGCTTCTTAATGAAACATAGTGACACATGCTTAAGTCTTGATGGATGTAGCATTGCCAATCAACTTTCCTACCTCCACATCATAGGTCACAAAACAAACTCCTGGGTAACGTCTGTATACTGTAGTACTTGTTTTCTTTCATGAAATTCTGCAAAGGACATACAAATTTTAAAAGATATAATTTAAACTAGTACTGTACATAAATTATAGTTTTATGTCTATTCTCTGGATAGTGATTCTGCTATCGTAATGAAAATGACAAAATGTAATAATATATCTACAGTTCAGTACTGGAGCCAATTCCTGTATATTTCGTGAGCATTTGGTTTTTGCAGTTTTTTCCATGCTCTTAAATCAAATGATGTGGCAAAAACAAAAAACAAAAATTATTCCTGCATCAATATTTCCTAAATTTTTGACGTGGACAGGAGTGATAACCTAATAATTTTTTCTATGTGCCCTAAGTATTATAATTGAGTGGAAGATACCTCAGAAACTAGCTCAAAATTTTGCAGAAAATCGCTAGGAAAATAGGTTTGCAGAATTGTAACTACTGCATAATACATTAGGCCTAGTTATTATATTAGGATTCGGTCAGTCCTGGGGCAAAGCCTAATTTTTTGCAAAATCTGACCTTATTTTCTGAAATGTAGACGGATTTCTGGGACTAATTTTTGCATGTAAGATATATTTCCTGCGCAGCCTTACTTTACAGTGAGGACTAACGCATCTCCTGCACATTCTGCATTATCAATTGTCTTCTGGAAAATATTAATAAGGAACCTTTTTTTAGTTAGTATTAAAAGCTCATTATTATTTATTCAACCAAATCTCCAAACTTTGGACCCTAGCTACCGCCTGAAAAGTAGGCCTAGCCTAAGTTAACCTATGCCTACACTTTTCCTAGTCTAGTAGACTAGAGGAATGCCAGTCAAGTCTCCCCCTTGTAAAGTCGCCCCCTTGTCAAGTCGCCCCCTTGTCAAGTCGCCTCCTAGCAAATTCACCCCTTTGCAAAGTCGCCCCCCTAACCAAGTTGCCCCCTTGACTAATATTGAATATTATTATTAACTAACCTTTGAGACCGTTACTTACTGTAGAACTTATCTAGGCCTAGGAGAGAGCTATGACGTCTGGTTCGTCTGTGTGCTTGTTCGGCCGTAAGATATTCAATGCCCAAAATAAGGGTTATTGTATGGAACGTTGGCCGTAAGATATTCAATGCCCAAATAAGGGTTATTGTATGGAACGCCGAGTAGTGTACATGTAATCAATGCGTGAATTAGATATCACAGTGCAATGTTGGCCGCAGGTACGTTAGTTGGTATATACTGTACGTCAGTATACCCACTAACGTACCTGTGCCCAACATTCGTCAAGGGGGCGACTTTGCTGGGAGAGACTTGGTTAGGGGGTGACTTTGTGTAGGGGCGACTTTACAAGGGGGGGGGCCAACTTTACTGGATCCCGACTAGAGATAGAGGGCCCCCAGAGGGCTAGCCTAGGACGGGGCCTAGCTAGGTAGATTAGATACAAACCAAAGATCTTATAAACACAAGATAGCGTTCTCCGCGATTAATGCGTGGAAATTCTGTAATAATGCATGAACAGCGCCCTCTTGCAAAATTGGAAACTTTTGAACATTGACCGCTCTGACCATGGCGTACGCCGCGCGACTATACGTTTACGTGTAACAATTAGAAGCGTCCCATTTACAATGCGCCCTCTCTTTAGAACATAAGGAACAAATTAACGTACTTTGGTAACGAACTTTGGCTTAACGTGGACACCTTATCTCAGATTCATGACAACGACTAGGACGCCTTCTTCCAAAACTGATTACTTTTCTGTGCCAAATCGACGCTTCTATTTGTTACGCGTAAATCGCGGAGAACGCTATCTTGTGTTTATAAGATCTTTGATACAAACCTAGGCCTAGCCTAGAGGGCCTCCTCTAGGTTAGGCTACTAGGACTAAAGTAAAGGCTAAGTAAAGTTAGGCCTAGGCCTAGTCACACACACCCTGAGTCTACGACGATACGATCTCCGATTATTACTATAAAAACAAAGTTAACGATGAATCATTATATGATGACGTTATTTGTTTATCAATAACGAATTTACCGGACGTAACTATTTTACTTACAACAACGCACGTTGATTTTATTTACTGTAATAATACCTGTGGACGTGTGTTTATGAATCTTTAGTTAAAGGGTATTTTTTAATTACATTTTTGTAGCCGATTCATGTCGAACCACCAGAATTCCGTTTTTTACCATGTCAGGCCTACAAGTTTTTTTATCAACATTTTGAAGAGCGCCATCTTTACAACGATCAGACCGTGTGTGTGTGTGTGTGATGAGAGGAAATGAATACATCCCCCATATATAATCGTGAAAAGTGAGCAGATATAGACGCAAGCGGAAAACATACGACTGCAACAGAATTTAGGATATTTCCATCTCCGCCAACATGGCGAAGATATTTAGAAAATTGGGAAAGAAACCAAAGCCACCAAGTCCAGATTACTCAGGCTCGGGGAGAAATTCTCGCCTTGGTAGTGGCTCCATCCGAAGCCCTGTGAACGAGTTCGATGATGATTACAACAAAGACCCACAGCTGGCCCGAATGGGAAGTGGTAGATTTAGCCAAACGACTGATACCCTGTGCTCTGTGTTTGGGCCAGACTCAAATGTCGGAACATTTTCGTCTCAGCAAGGCGCTGGAACATTTAATAATTCACAGCAAAATCCAGCAGATACAATCGAATCTAATCGACGAACAATGGGATATGATAATTCGTTACCCAATTCACCAACGAAAAAGGTAGGTGTAGGCTAGGCCTAGCCTCCTAGGCCTAGGCCCCTAGGTAGGATTTGATAAATAAAAAAATGTTATCTTACAAAAAAAATCCATGATGTCAGGCAGCCTCTCTAAATTATTAAAATTATTGAATATGACTAGGTCCATGTATATGTTATAGCTCCAGATGCATGACTGAACAAAAACTTGAACTCCAACATGCCATTGTGATGTACTGTAAGCCCTTGTAAATATAAAATTTACCAAATATTGATATTTGGTGCAGTCCTTTGCTTTGGAAATTAAAACGATAGGAAGGAGAATATTTTTTGCTTTTTTAGCGACACATGTCCATTTTTATTGATAGGAAAGAACCAAGAAGTTATTGATTGTATAGATAGAAACTAATCTGTTGCGAATTGTGTCAGAGGTGATTAGCATACAACAGTGTCAATGAACGTTCATTGACATTGATTCTTACATACAGCTTTAGTTTCATGTTTTTTTTGGCATGCTCTTCTTCATTTCCTGTGTATAATGTTAGCATAGTTAATGACAGTGAGACAATCACAAAACGAGTATGTATATCAAAAACTAATCCACCAATTCAAATACATTCAGTTCTTATAATGGTTTCTACAAGATCAGTCAATAATAATTTATTTATTCTTTCTTTTTTTCTGGTTTCACTAATTATCTAAGTGGTTCAAAAATGTAATAAACAAAAGAAATAAGTATTTAAAGTATAAAATGGTGTGAGTATTGTATCAACAACTACTGTATTTAACAGAATTTTAACAATGATACAGGTATTTATTCAATTCCAAACTAAACCAGGGAACTCACAGTAAGATAACATTCATGATTTCAAAAGCTATTCATGAGGGATGGACCGTAATGAAATACATCGTTTTCCAAGGCCTAAAAATCTTTTGAAGTTGGAGTTCACAGCTTGAAATATATCGTAAATGAGACGCATTGACATTGACACGCGATTGCAACACATGCACTGCAACATGTATGAAAACGATATTTTTATTTTATTTATAGATAAATGTTTTCATTTTTTTTAACATTAGATATTGTCTTTTAGGTTTAACAATAAGAAAATTAAAGTTACAAGAATAATTTTGACACTTGTACGATAGAATATCAATACGTTTTAACATTCTATCGTACAAGTGACAAAATTATTCTTGTACAGTAACTTGTACGATAGAATGTCAATACGTTTTAATGGCACTTCCATGTAATGTATTTAAACCTTCAAATTCCTGCCAATTATGTGCTATTTTTTACGATCTACATTTTTGGATCCTCGGTTATAAGCCCATCCCCCCCAACTTGACGCAATCTTGTGTTTGGAGGTGGGGTGCTTATACCCACGTCAGTACAGTAGTGTATTTCAACCTAAGAAATCTAAACCATGTTACTTGATATATTATTAAAGCAAAAGTCAGAGGTCAGTTGCGGTACTTCCTGGTGTTGTCACGGTCGTAAACAGTACATATCCTGATATCATTGCAAGTGTTTGGTCATGTCAAGACTAATTATTCATCACTAGGCTTTATGGAGTTAGGGATGCTCCCCATAATAACTTATCTTCATAATTAGGATCCTACTAATTATACCTGGTAATACTTACAGTATATTCAGTATGAATGACTTGGAATTCAGAAGCTGTTTTTGCATGATTCCCATTAAAAAAACAAAAAAAAGAAAAAGAAATTGCATAGTACTGTAATTCAAATGTATTGTAGTAGTAGTAGTGCTGATTTAGCTACTTGTCCAAGATTATCCCAGAGGGAGCAGAGGTATCAGTTGACCAGGTCACGTAAGACTATTATAATATGCATTGTGTTCAAATCTAAACAAATAATAATTACATACTGTATACCCAAGGCATTATAATGATCCAGGGTATACTTCTGTTGCACAGTCATAACCTAACAGACCAGATCTAGATTATTGTGATAACTGCAAAATGTATTAAAAATCTTTTTGAAAGATATGGCTCAATGCCTTGTGGCTTAGGTGAGACATTTGTATATCTTGTTTTGTGAACCCACCGCCCGCCAGTATTGATGATTTCGAATAAAAGTAAAATTTTATTTTTGGCCAATTAATGCAGCCGCTGCCAAGAAAAACTGGAAGTTTCAAGGAAAAAATAAAAGTTTTTCTTTATCTTTAAATTACATGCCTGCTGCTGCTTTGAATCTCCAGAAATAATATGTACAGTACAGAATGTTCTTCCTACTGTATATAACTTTAAAGCATTTAACCATCTCATTACTACATTCAACAATACAATTTTATTCTTAAATAATCATACGTATGGATGTTTTTGGCAAAACCATTGCTAAACAAGAAACAACAAACATTAGACTCCAAAGGCATCGCGCAAACGTTCTTCATGCGCTGAGGCAGCTTTGTTTTTGGCCCATTTCCATAGCACTGCTTGCACGGAGCTTTTTCGAGTGATCTCCTTCTCAATAATACCTCCATGGTTATAAAATGGAGCTAACTCCATGATTAAACCCATGGAGAATATAGCTTTATACATTAGTGATGTTTATCAAGCTGGACAGAAGGTGTACTTTGTCACCGTTTTTTAAAACTGGAAAGGGTAACCTGATAAGTATAAGGACACTGCCATTCTTCTATCGCTGTAAAACAAAATGGTACAGTACTTTCATATTTAATCATCTTACAATAAAAAATTGCCCAAAAGACCCGGTAGATAATTATTATAATTTATAGACTACATATTTCATTGTATATCATTGTACAGTATAGTACAATATTTATGATTTATATGTCAACTTTAATATTAGTTTTCGGTTGCATTGGTACCGGTATCATTAACTTAAAATTATTTATTTTTTTTATCAGCTTGAAATACAATGATAGTACTGTCTGGTCACAATATCATCATTTATATATATTGTGTAAATCTGCTTAACAATAAACAAAACAAACAGTGATAATAAGTTATGCAAATAAGATTCATCTTAATAACACATACAAATACTACATTGTCTAATAACGAAGTCTGGTCACAATATCACCAACTATGATTGCACCAATTTGCCCAACTTCAAAATATGTTGTCTACTGTAGTTAAATTACACTATAAACAAGGGAAAACAACTCTGCCAATCTGTAGCAAAGGTTTTTGGTTAGCATAAAAAACTTGGCTTTTTACCAGGGGACCTACTAAATTTGCAGTAAAGGTAAGTATAGAAGATTGATTCTATGTTGACTACCTTTACCATACTCTATTCTTGGAAAATCTGAAGGGTAATTGAACATTATGCATGAAATATTGCTAAGGTGAACTTTAACTAAAAGCTGAGCTTATGAATTTCCATGATATGTGCATTATGGAATGAATCAACACATAGCTAATTACCTACAAACACTGGACAAATTTCTACTTATTCGTCTTAACAAATTATTTTCGCATCATAGTGATGTCATTCCTTTGTTGTTTCTAAAGTGACCGAAAATTATTTTCAATTATCTCGCTCATAAATTGTGACTCTATTGAGCAATGTGTCGCCAGGTTGCTCATGAGGAAATGTGCTTATTGTCTACGAGCAATTGATTCACGTTCATTCAGAGACAGCAGGTAGCAGAAGAAAGAGAATCCTCACATTGTTTATTAAAATTTACAATACAACACAGACTCAGGGGGAAAAAGTCTTGGATTCTTGGCCCCTCTAGCAATTTTCCCTTTTTTTTTTTAAAGAGAAAACACATAGGAAATCTTCAAATCCTGAAGGAATTATAGGTTTATTATAGGAATTGAGTATCCTTATATTGGCCTGGTTTATTACAGGCCTGGATTGATTGGTGATTTTTCGGAATTCAAATAAAAAAAAAAATCTTAGACAAGATTCTTTTTAGCTTTAGCTCCAACTAGGCCTTGGCAAGACCATGTTTTCCATTTGTGTTTCCTAAATAGGAGTACCCCTATTTAAGGGACATCCTATTAAGGGGAAAACGTTTATTGGTCCCAAAGGTATGCCGTTAATAGGTGTTCTATTATAATACTGTATTTATTTATTTATTTATTCAACAATCTCTTAAGAAGGTTCAGTATAATTAACAAGAGACCTATGGTAAGTCTGTGCTTGCAAGTTGCACTTTTACTAGGTTTTTGTTTTGGTCCATCACTGAACCTTTGAATCCAGGGAGCCTGTTTTTGACATACTGTACAACCATGGTACAACTACAGTTTAAACATAGGAGATTACTGTAGACCTAATGTACTGTGCATGTAATGAATATAGGAACCTGTTAAAGGTCACCTTACCTTGAACTCTACTTCCTGTTTTCCTCTTAAGTCCATGCTCAAGGAATTATGAATATTTAATAGTAGGTATCTTTATAATTTTATAATTTCATTCACATAAAATAGAAATGAATTAGTTGTCATGAACTGGACTTCTCGTACTTTAAAATTGTACAGCGGTAGGAAACCGAAAATAAAAAGTGTGTGGAAATTGATCTTGAGCATAGTGAAATGTTGAAACACTATAGTACTCTATTATAGTTATTATTCCTGAGCCGTTTGAACATGTCCAACAGAGTGAAATGTACATTTTAGGAAATGCGAGTAACCATACTACTGTATAATGAAATAAGTATATAAATTTTAAGAAACTAAGTTTATTGAACACTGACAGTTAAGTTTCAGTGGTAAATGATTTTAACAATGATTATTAATTTTGTTTATTCGAAACTTTCAATATTAATATGTATTTTTTATTTAACTAAATATACATTTTTTAAAACTTTATTTATTTTTTTTTTGGTAGGCTAGTTACTGTAGATGTCAAAAACCATTAGAGCACAGGTGTGATTGCAAGGAAACGGTGCAATGGTTTTGGATCCCTGCACTGTTTTTGTGGTTTTCCTTTTCTGGTTAATTTTTTTAGGATACACTAATCTGTTCTTGATTTCTTTCTCTGGTCTTTTTTGTCTGTTTTTTCTTTAAGCTCACCTTGTCTTTTCTTTAC